GACAGACGGCAAGGGACATATTCAGTGAAAGTCACAAAGGTCTCATCCAGAGTGGAGACAAATGGCTCACCAGCACCTCCAAGTCATGGTCCATTGTGGCAGCCCTCATAGCCACAGTCGCTTTCAGCACTTCCATCACCTTTCCTGGCGGCTTCAAGGAAGAAATCAACAAACCCACCTTCGCAAACGAGCCAGCATTTAACATATTCACCATAGCATCCTTTCTCGCACTCTGTTTCTCTGTGACATCGGTGGTCATGTTCCTCGCCATACTCACTTCCAGGTATTATTGAATTACCTTATCTAAAAATTTTAGATGACTATACATAAGCCACCCATATTAATTTTTTTCATTAAAGTCTGGCAATATTTGATCCCTATACAGTTCCATAATATATAGAACCACATCATCTAAAAAAAATAAGCTGTTAGAGGAACAACACATTTATTTATTAAATTAAGTCTTCTACAGATACCAAGAAGAAGACTTCCGCAAGGACTTGCCAATAAAACTTTTGGTGGGATTGACGACTCTCTTCGTGTCTATTGCTTCTACTATGGTCTCTTTTTGCTCCAGCCACTACTTTGTGCTTACAGATGATCTGAAACACTTCGCGTTCCCGGCATATGCCTTCACATGCCTGCTGGTGACATTTTTCACCATGGCACAATTTCCGTATTACTTTGATCTTATATGGAGTTACTTTACGAAGATGCCTCAGCCAAGCTACTAATAGGGTTTTTTATTGTAAAAATTTAATCTCTTTGAATTTAATCATGAAATTGGAGAACCAAGTGTTTAATGTTTGTAAGCTTAAAATAATTTATATATTAATAAATAAGTAAGTTTAAAAATAAATTAGTTGAAATAATTATTTTGAAAATCCCTACTTAATTTTGCAAATATTCATTATAGCTTGTCCCAAGCCTAAGTATAAAATTGAAAATTTTAATCGAACAACCTCTTTAAAAACATTAGCTGAAACAAAACTCTGGGGGAAAAGGAAAACACACAAAATAGAAACGTATCGATCTGTCCTAAAATTTAAAAAAATCATTCAAAGGCTTGAGTGTTTCAAGAATATATATAAATGGGCCCAAAATTTTTTAATTTTCGAATTGTAGGCCAATTGTATTTGCTTGAAAACTAGGGCGGTATGATTAACATGGATGGAAAAAAGTGAAAATTACAGGGACTAAAGTGGTGTTCTCTTTGACCGTTTTGGATCGTTTTCTGTTTTCGATTTTCCAAAACAATGAAAACGCTTTCTCTTTCCTATTTTTAAGATAGTGTTTTTAAGATCTCAATTCATGTTTAAGAGTTACTAGTGTTTCTTTCAAAAATTAGATATAATCAAAATTCTAAATATTAATAATAATATTATAAAAATTATTTTACATATCTCCTCCACTACCATCTACCCTCCCAAACCCTAATTATTCCCAATCTATTCTTTCTCTTTAATAAACCGACTCTCCCTTCTTTCTATCTTCTCTCACCATCTCTCTATCCTCACGCTGGCGCCTTCACGGTGCACCCACAAACCCGATGACGATGACGATGACGTAGCATCCGAAAACCATGGCAGCTTAGCAAGCGGCACCAATATTGTACACGCCGCGCGAGGCATAGTACTGTGAGAAGGCTGTACAACGCAGTACCTCTGTATGCAACGCGCTACAGTGCCTGTGTTTCATATATTTTCTCATGGATGTGCCACAACTGCTGTGGTGTTTGGGTAGTGGTGATCGTGATGTTAGCAACAGTGGTGGTGATGTTGGCGGTGGTGTTCGGTCGGTGGTGGTAGTCATGGTAGAACGGTGATTGTGAGTGGGATGGCGTGGGGTAGGGTGGGAGTGTTTGTGACCAATTATTTGGTTGATTGTGACCTATAAATTGATTAATTTATGATCAATAAATAATATGTGATCAATTATTTGAAATTGTGACCAATAAATTTGATATTTTTTGACCAATAAATAACATATGGCCTATAACTTGTAACCTAAAAATTTGAGTCGCGACTTATAAAATTTGTGATTTGTGATCCATAAATAAATTGTGACCTATAAAATTTTGATTTGTGGCCTACAAAGGTTTTGATTCGTGATCGAGAAATAATTTGTGACCAATTAATTCGTTAATTTGTGATCAAATTATATATAATTGTGATTTTAATATATTTAATTAATAAAATATGTATTTAATTAATTATTTCATAAATAAATTTTCATAATCTGATTTTTAAAATTTTAAACCGTATTTCTTAGTTTTTTTTTTTTTTTGAAATGGCCACAGTAAAATTATTAGATAAAATGTATAGATCAAATCACATGTATTAGTTAAACATGATATATGTTTTCAATTGGAATTTGTTTGGGCGTGGGATGAGGAGGCCGTTCTGGAACAAATCGTAGGTGATTTAGCAAGTGATAATGCTCAAGGTGTTAGAAATATAAATCATATCTA